AGTCGGACGTTGCACACTCCTGACCCCTGCACTCTGTATGATGGACTACTGACCTAGATTACAGTATGCTCCCTCCATGTTTAAGCACAGTTCAGTCACACCAAACATTGGGCACAACACTACACACCCCACCTCATGCCCTGCCCCACCCTCATTTTCAGTGCTACCAATTTTCATACGTTCCCAGGTAGGTGCATCTCAGCTGCCAATCTTGCCTTGTGTCCCAAATTTAAAGTCTAATCGAGGTGACTACATACTGTCCTACCATTGGTCAGTTTTCTCCCACGCTACACTCTAATTTTTGTTGCTGGAAAACACCGTCCTCACCTCTTCCAATTCCTCTTCTGTTTGATGTCCTCCTGCTGGACAATTTCTACCCAACCATTCCTGAGGGCGATAGTCCAAATATTTTTGGAAGATTGGGGGGGAATGCAGCGGGGTGTGAAGTGTGTCTATTTTGACATTTTCTTACCTTTCATGATGGTGCGGTGTGGTGCTGCAATGAATTGGACCTCACAGACTATGCCATCAAACTGTTGTGTCACTGGACAGTTTTTACCAAGCTATACCTGTTATGTTACCCCTACCTTCACATGTGTTGAACACATGGCCCACAGGCCAAATCCTGGCCTCCAGGACTTTTCCTGTGGCCTTCACACCCAGACCGCTGAGGAACTCCATTCCGCCAGCTCTGGCTTTCGCCCTCAGCTTTCCTCTCAGTGGCTCCCACAGATCCCTGCCTGCCCTGCACACACTCCCGGCAGGGACAGATGCCAACCAATGATCTCCTTGCAAATGAGAGGCAGAGAGCCGCCTACACTGCTGGGAGATACTAGAGCCAGGCCGGATAAGTGAGATGTGAGGAAGCTTTTTGGGAGGAGAGATGAGGGAGATATACGTGGGGGATGGGGGGGAGAGTGGTGCAGAGGTTTGAGCCAAGGAGGAGGAGGGGCAGAAGTAAGATGTGGACAGCCTGTAAAAGAGAGCTGAACCCTGCATACTGTGCATAGCACATCCCTAAACCCTGCAATCTGTATGCATGCCCCTGATCTCTGCCTGTAGCGCGCTCCTGAACTCTGCACTGTGTACGTAGCGCACACCTGAACTCCGCACTCTGTACATAGCACGCCCCTGAACTTCGCACTCTGTATGTAGCGCGCTCCTGAACTCCACCCCCTGTACATAGCACACTCCTGACCTGTGCACTGTAAGCCATGTGCACCTGAACTCCGCGCTCTCTACGCAGTGTGCTCCTGAACTCCGCGCTCTCTACGCAGTGTGCTCCTGAACTCCGTGCTCTCTACGCAGCACGCTCCTGAGCTCCGTGCTCTCTACGCAGAGTGCTCCTGAACTCCGTGCTCTCTACGCAGCGTGCTCCTGAACTCCGTGCTCTCTACGCAGCGTGCTCCTGAAGTCCACTCTCTCTACGCATCGTGCTCCTGAACTCCGAGCTCCCTACGCACCATGCTCCTGAAAACCGAGCTCCCTATGCAGCACGCTCCTGAACTCTGAGCTCTCTATGCAGCACGCTCCTGAAGTCCGTGCTCTCTACGCAGCATGCTCCTGAACTCCGAGCTCCCTATGCAGCACGCTCCTAAACTCCGAGCTCTCTATGCAGCGCGCTCCTGAACTCCGAGCTCTCTATGCAGCACGCTCCTGAAGTCCGTGCTCTCTACGCACCATGCTCCTGAACTCCGAGCTCTCTACGCAGCTCGCTCCTGAACTCCACGCTCTCTACGCAGCGCGCTCCTGAACTCCGCACTCTCCTCAACTCCAGCCTCTCTGCGCAGCGCGCTCCTGAACTCAACACTCTCTATGCAGCTCGCTTCTGAACTCCGCGCTCTCTACGCAGCGCGTTCCTGAACTCCACGCTTTCTACGCAGATCGCTTCTGAACTCCGAGCTTTCTACGCAGCTCGCTCCTGAACTACGCACTCTCTACGCAGCTCGCTCCTGAAGTCCGCGCTCTCTACGCAGCATGCTCCTGCATTCTGTGCTCTGTACATAGCACACATCTGAAATCTGCACTCTGTATGTAGTGCACTCCTGAAATCTGCACTCTCTACATAGCGCACTCCTGAACTCTGCACTCTGTACATAGCCCAGACCTAAACTGTGTGCATAGGGCACACCTGAAACTGCACTCTGTATTTAGTGCACTACTGAACCCTGCACTCAGTATGTAGCACACCCCTACACTATGTATGTAATGCACCCATGAACTCTGCACGTAATGCACTCCTGAATTAACATGATAAAGAGTAGATACAAAGTCTTACAGATATAACCACCCATTTGAGGACAACCATAATCCTGATGCGAGCCGCACCCCCGCCTTACATATTTACATGGGGCAGTTGTATCTGGGTGACCCCATTATGTTAAAGGAGACTTCAAAATTTCCATAAGCTCATCACCATCAGGCCAGGGTTGTAATAAAGAGGTCCTTCTACTCAATAGTTACAAGGTGCTCTGCAGGGGAATCCCCCCATGTTGAGGGCATGTAGCCTCTTTTGATTCAGGAGGAGAGGACCACACAGTCACCCCCAGGGGCGGACTGACAACTCCAGGGGCCGCTGGGCAATAGGGGATCATGGGGCCCCTGTGTCCTTGCCCAAACTCAAAAAAGCCTATGAAAAAGGTACCAGGGGCATCTCATGGGGCCCCCTACTGACCCCGGGCCCTCGGGCAATGCCCGAGTTTCCAAATGGTCAGTCTGCCCCTGGTCATCCCTCATTTACAAGGCCCGCCAGGCTGCATGCTCGCATAAGGGTCTGGTATGAACTTTAAGAAGAAAACACATTTTGTTTTCTTGTTTTTTGCATGGAGATCCAACGTAAAGGCAAAATTCACCTGTTACCTCCGTATTTAGAGTTTGAGATGTGACATGTTACTATAAACCAACACCTCACCTTCCTGTGACAGTGAGCGGGAGTTCATCTCCCCGCAGCTGCCATCACATTTTAAAATCAGCGTGACTGTGCAGGATTCCACCCATACAGCCGCGTCGTTCAATCACAGCAATCTGTGAATGAATAAACTACGTGTCCCATCTGCCACCACAGCAGACGGACTTGTAATTTCAGTGGACTGCAAGGACGCTAATGATCGACTTCATAGCTCATTCACAAGCCCTGCAGCTTTCTAACTGACAGCCTGTAGAGAGGTACAGGCAGAAAGCTGTAGGGTTTGTCTGCAGGAGTCTGACATTTCCCCCCTCTATCTACCAATGGTGGGTACAATTCTCTGATTAAAAAAAAAAGTACATGCACATATTTTTTACCTGAAAAAAAAAATATACATTTATTATTAATATTTTTTTTTTTAACATACCTTTAAATTTCAAACTAGCGCTGAAGAGTCTGGTATTGAATTTAGGGAGCATCCCACAATGTTTTTTTTTGGTGGGGTCCCCCTTGACGTCCATATCCGTTCCTCATGAAGGATAAGGGTCTTATACAGTATCTCCCAGAAGTGAGTCCCCCCCTCACATTTGTGTAAATATTTGATTGTATCTTTTCATGTGACAACACTGAAGAAATGACACTTTGCTACAATGCGACGTAGTCAGTGTACAGCTTGTATAACATGTAAATTTGCTGTCCCCTCAAAATAACTCAACACACAGCCATTAATGTCTAAACCGCTGGCAACAAAAGTGAGTCCACCCCTAAGTGACAAGGTCCAAATTGGGCCCAAACTGTCAATGTTTTGTGTGGCCGCCATTATTTTCCAGCACTGCCTTAACCCTCTTGGGCATGGAGTTCACCAGAGCTTCACAGGTTGCCACTGGAGTCCTCTTCCACTCCTCCATGACGACATCACGGAGCTGGTGGATGTTAGAGACCTTGCGCTCCTCCACCTTCCCTCTTCCACTCCTCCATGATGACATCACAGAGCTGGTGGATGTTAGAGACCTTACGCTCCTCCACCTTCCCTCTTCTACTCCTCCATGACGACATCACAGAGCTGCTGGATGTTTAGAGACCTTGCGCTCCTCCACCTTCCCTCTTCCACTCCTCCATGACGACATCACGGAGCTGGTGGATGTTAGAGACCTTACGCTCCTCCACCTTCCCTCTTCTACTCCTCCATGACGACATCACAGAGCTGCTGGATGTTAGAGACCATGCGCTCCTCCACCTTCCATTTGAGGACGCCCCACAGATGCTCAATAGGGTTTAGGTCTGGAGACATGCATGTTACAAGCAAGGCAACGTTTCAGAGTCTCGGAGGACCCCTTCATCAGGCATGTGATGAACAAGCCAACTCCGAAACGTTGCCTTGCTGTAACTCTGTGATCGTTCATTAAAACTTTTGGACCCGTATTGGTGATCCTCGGTGTGCTGAAGACATTCTCCAACACTGCACATGCAGCGCATGCAGCCCAGCGTCCAGAGAAGGAGGGGGGGTGGGTGGAAAAAGAAGTCCTACTCTTCTCAGTTGATGCCAAAAGTCTACTGGGCCATTCTGTGCCCCACGTCCTCGATGTAGTGCTCTGGCGCCTAATGATGAAAGAGTTCAGCTCCATCTAGTGTCCATAATGTGGTAATAATACTGCAGTGCCTCATTCTTGCCACTAGATGGAGCTGATGATCATAGGAAATCACTACATGAAATATGGCCAAGATTAGTCATAGCTGGGCAAATTTGTTGAACAAATTTTTTTTTTAAAAAACAGATCTCTAAGTGTTTATGAAATCTCCCACCACAAAATGTACTCAGCCAATGAAAGGTTTATTCTTCTCCTGCTATCAATGATCAACCCGGACCCGCACTTCATCCACATCTTTTGGTGACCTCTGATCTCCTTATGAACGGTTTCTTCCATGATGAAGATCAGCCATGGAGTATATCTGAGGTGTATATCAGGGTGCGCTTCTTCCCCACATGAGAGCTGGGATGTCCAGCAACATTCATCTAGAAGACATTTCCCGCACTCAAGGCGCTAATACACCTCAAAGGCTGTGTGGGATCTCTGATGTACAGGAAGACAGGACTTCAGTGAGGAACATTTCCCTCACTCAGGACAGGAAAGTGGCTTCTCCCCCGTATGAGATCTCTGATGTGTGTAAAGATTGGACTTCTGTGAAAAACATTTCCCGCACTCAGGACAGGAATACGGCTTCTCCCCCGTGTGAGATCTCTGATGTGTGTAAAGATGTGACTTCTGTGAAAAACATTTCCCGCACTCAGAACAGGAAAACAGATTCTCACCCGTGTGAGATCTCTGATGTGTGTGATAAAACTGGACTTGTCTGAAAAACATTTTCCACACTCAGAACAGGAATACGGCTTCTTTTCCCCTGTGTGAATCTTTGATGTGTAACAAGATGTGACTTATTTAAAAAAAACATTTCCCCACACTCAGGACAGGAATATGGCTTTTTCCCCTGTGTGAGATCTCTGATGTATGTAAAGATGGGACTTGATCTGAAAAACATTTCCCACACTCAGGACAGGAATACGGCTTCTCCCCTGTGTGAGATCTTTGATGTATGTATTTCAAGATTGGACTTTTGTGAAAAACATTTCCCGCACTCAGGACAGGAATATGGCTTCTCTCCCCGTGTGAGATCTTTTATGTACATTAAGATTGGATTTAAAACGGAAACATTTCCCGCACTCAGTACAGGAGAACCTCTTCCCTGTTGGAAGGCCGGCCGGTCCCGCACAGTCTGAGGTTCCTCAGGATACGAGGAATCCGATGGTCCATCTACACTGGGTGGTGCCGGATGGACATTGGAGGGAGCCGGGTTTTCTCCTGGACTATACTGTGTGATGTCCTCATCTTCTACTTTCCAGTCTGGAGACAAAGTGAGACAATCCTCGGAGGTTTTCCTCATCTCCCGGCCATGGACTAAAATACAAAGACAAAGAGGATTACTAGACAGGAGCTGATTGGTTCCCCCAAACCAGGACTCCGCCCACATCAGGCAGCTTGGTCTCTGAGGAGCTTACAATTCCACCCTCAAGGGAACTAGGAAATGGCTCCTCTGATCTCCTACCAGGTCATTTCTTTATTCATGGACCTTAGTCAGAGAGTGAGGAAACAACCAGAACTGTCTTTTATAGGAGGGACAGTGATGAGGGGATTATAGGACGAGGGTCCCCACCCCCTCTATCACTCATCGCCATCTTCCCAACACAAGAAGTACTGCACTTCCTTATTTAGTCCATGATTTAGTCATGAAGAACAGCGGGGCTGAGCCCCACCAGAGGTCAGAGAGTGAGGATGGGGGGGAGAACAACCAAGATGAAGACTGGACTGATCCTGAAGACCACCATCATTGGGTATTATTGACTCCTCCCTCATTATCACTTTCTGTTTAAGGGTCCAAAGTTGGAGGATGTTATCACATTATTATCACCATGTAAAAGTCTGTGCTCCAATCACATCATCCGATATAAAATGTCCAGCTGGTAGGAAATGGGGGCAAAAGAGAATCCATATTATGTGTATATATAGATACAAAAGTTTGGGGGAGCAGTATCATCAGGAATTATGGAATGTACAACATAGAGTATATATAGTGCAGGGGTCAGGAGTATGTAATGTACAACATAGAGTATATAGTGCAGGGGTCAGGAGTATGTAATGTACAACATAGAGTATATAGTGCAGGGGTCAGGAGTATGTAATGTACAACATAGAGTATATAGTGCAGGGGTCAGGAGTATGTAATGTACAACATAGAGTATATAGTAATGCAGGGCAGGGGTCAGGAGTATGTAATGTAGTACACATAGAGTATATAGTGCAGGGGTCAGGAGTATGTAATGTACAACATAGAGTATATAGTGCAGGGGTCAGGAGTATGTAATGTACAACATAGAGTATATAGTGCAGGGGTCAGGAGTATGTAATGTACAACATAGAGTATATAGTGCAGGGGTCAGGAGTATGTAATGTACAACATAGAGTATATAGTGCAGGGGTCAGGAGTATGTAATGTACAACAGAGTATATAGTGCAGGGGTCAGGAGTATGTAATGTACAACATAGAGTATATATAGTCAGGGGTCAGGAGTATGTAATGTACAACATAGAGTATATAGTGCAGGGGTCAGGAGTATGTAATGTACAACATAGAGTATATAGTGCAGGGGTCAGGAGTATGTAATGTACAACATAGAGTATATAGTGCAGGGGTCAGGAGTATGTAATGTACAACATAGAGTATATAGTGCAGGGGTCAGGAGTATGTAATGTACAACATAGAGTATATAGTGCAGGGGTCAGGAGTATGTAATGTACAACATAGAGTATATAGTGCAGGGGTCAGAGAGTATGTAATGTACAAAAGAGTATATAGTGCAGGGGTCAGGAGTATGTACTGTATGTACAACATAGAGTATATAGTGTGGGGTCAGGAGTATGTAATGTACAACACAAATAGTATATATAGTGCAGTGGTCAGGAGTATGTAATGTACAACATAAAGTATATAGTGCAGGGGTCAGGAGTATGTAATGTACAACATATAGAGTATATAATGCATTATTAGTCAGGAGTATGTAATGTACAATAATATGTATTATACAGGGGTCACAGACTATAAAAAATATAAAGGGGTCAGTGTAGTAGGTATTCATAATATTGGTATTCAGTAATCAGTGGAAAGGGTCAGGATTTTACTGTAGACAAGTTGCAAAATCCCCACAGGGGTCTGCCTCCCATCTCCTGAGACTGCACTCAGTGATTGCAGGGGTCTGAGACATACAGACATATCCCTTCCACCCAGCACAGCCAGCCAGCAGAACAACAGAGCAAGTAACCCTGGGGGGAATTGTTCTGTCAGAGATCTTGCTAAACCGGGGGAGGGGCAGAAGACCCAAAGCACATGTCCCAGGTCCCTAGGTCTAGTAAACACCTATGGTGAAAAAATCAACATTTTTGCTACCAGCTGAACCCCAGAATCTCCATAAATCCAGTCTAGATACATAAATTGTGTCTGCAGCACAGAGAAGGAAGATTATCCGAGAGAAATCCAGGAATACAGGACGGGGAACACAGCTCAGGAAAGTGACCAGGGGATTACAGGCTGATATCACCCAGTCCCCGCCCTACTCTGGACCAATCAGTGAGCAGTATGGAGTGGAACAAATGGATTTAGTGTTCATGACCCACCTGTGCTGATCTCTGTAGGAGTGTCCTCCTCTTTAAATACACTCGTTATTCCATCCTCCCTTCACAGACTGATCATCCCTCACATACGCCTCTTCTTCTTCTGCTTTACCCTCAAATTTTATATCTGATTGGATCTCCACCCTAAATCAAGAAAAATGAAGAAAATATCATCTGTAAAATGTAAATTTAATTGTGACATCACATAAAAAAATCCACATCATTGTCTCCTACAAGTCCATGTTCTAGATGCTCTGCCCCACCAACCTTGTAATAGTGAGGGATGGTGTGACCTTCCTGTGTGGAATCCCGGGAATACAGAGGACGGGGACATCTCTCTGGTGGGTTCCTGTAGCTGGATGACTCCATGGTGTCCTGGTACAGATCTTTGTGTTCTTTTAGAAACTTTAACTCCTCCATCCCCCCATCCTCATCATCCTCTCTTTTATCTCTCTTCTATTTAACATCAACTTTAGGATCTCTCAGGTTTCCACTCTGAATATATAATAAAAATGACATCAATGGTAACAATGCAGATAATGTACAGATCCTAAATATCCATCAGTGATTGTTCCTCATCTACCTGATGATGGTGAGGGATGGTGGTGACCTTCCTGTGTGGAATCCCGGGGATACAGAGGATGGGGACATCTCTCTGGTGGGTTCCCATTACTGGATCCATCTACCTGATGATGGTGAGGTGAGGGATGTGTGACCTTCCTGTGTGGAATCCCGGGAATACAGAGGACGGGGGACATCTCTCTGGTGGGTTCCCATGACTGGATCCATCTGTAGGAAACACACACACTGACTGAATCCATTGTTTCTATGTGTTTATCAGATGATGGGGGATCTAGGTGGATCCTCCGTACTGCTCTCTCCTTTACAATAAAGTCTCCTCTTACCCGGTGATGTGAGGGGGGCGGCTGATTGTCCATCATGACGTCCTTGTAGAGATCCTTGTGTCCTTCTAAATACTCCCACTCCTCCATGGAGAAATAGACAGTGACACCCTGACACCTTATAGGAACCTGACACACACAATGATACAGTCACCATCCAGACACATCCCTTGTCTGTTACTGGAGAATGTCCCAGAATTCCCGGCACCGCTCACCTCTCCTGTCAGCAGCTCCATCATCTTCTTGGTGACTTCTAGAATCTTCTGCATGTTGTGTCTCTCAGGGTTTAGGGAGTCACATGGAGGCACTGTGATGGTCATATGATCACCTGACTTCAGAAGAGGAAATCTCTGTATTGAGGAACCAATAGGGAATATCATGTTAGAATCCCAGAATCCTCCTCACCTCTCCGGTCAGGTCTGTGTTTTTATTAATAGAGATAAGAGTGATGTCATGTGACCTCCCAGAATCCTCCTCACCTCTCCGGGTCTGTGGTCAGAGTGAGATGTGACCTCCCAGAATCTCAATCTCCAGTCAGCAGGTGAGGAGGTTTAGTATCCTCTCAGTCATGTGACTCCGGTCCTCCCATCTTCATTGATGTGGTCATGTGATCTATGTGGTCTCCTCTCTCTGTAGACAGATATCAGAGAATTAATGAAATATTCAATGATGAAAATGATTGATTGTACAATATTAGGATGGGGATGTAAGCGATGAATAGGCAGACTTTTTTTCCTTCATGGTGATCATTGGTGGTCTTACATCTGTCCCCCCATATTATTGGGGTGTTTATTTTTGTTCTCTCTCTTATTGTCTCACCTACAACATCGATCTGATCTTTACTCTGTCCAGCTCTGCCCTCTTTGTACGCAGCATTCAATGGTGGGGTTGGTGGGGTAGGTAAGTATTTACATTTTTGAAAGTTGAATGATTCCCCAGCCACTTACAAAATGAACGAAGAGGCTGGGAGTCTGTCTCCATTAACCAGGAATTTAGATGGCATTTTTGTATTCTTAGTGTTGCTTGTCGTAGGTTGTAGATCTCAGACAGATGAGACCCTTCACAGGCAGGGTCAAGGCACCTCCCCCAGTCATGGGATTTAAAGGATAAGTTCATAAGTTACATGCTTCACCCATTTTTTGGGTGGAACATGGATCATGTTCCTCTGCTGCAGCTGCTGCACGGTTCCCCTCCCCCCCCCCATGACAGCAGTACGGAGGGAGAAGATCCCCATACTAGTTCAGTTTTTTTAAAACAGCGTGGCTGTGTGTGGCTCCGCCCACAAGGCCACGTCATTCATTCACAGATTTCTGTAAATAAAATAAACTACAAGTCCTGACGATCCCCTGTGCAGCTTGTAGTCCTCCATGAACTACCAGGGGGCACATTGAATGTCATAGTAGATCATTGAGTCTTCCTGGTAGATAAACAGTACCTGCTTGTCGTAA